GCTACTTCCAAGTAATCCATAGCATTTGTGTGTATTTGCGGTAAACAGGGTAAGCCGTGCGCTGATCATTCCCAGTGGTTCCATGGAGAGGGTGGGGAGGGAGCCGTATTCAGTCGCTAGGAAATTCCTTCCCCCTTCACAGCCCCCTTCTCGTCAAGATAGCGATTTCCCGAGGGAAATATAGAGAAAAAAATTGGGGAGAATGGTAAGAAGCTGGGAGACTTCTAGAAGACGGTAGGTGGGATGGTGGAAGGGGAAGAGGGGTCAAAGCAGCGATACTTCTGAGGGAGGTCGTATTTTTCGTCGTATTAAAATTTTTTAACGAACAGTCAGACGTCCCTTGATGGCAGATGCACTGCAAGATAAAGAATCCGGGGATGACGAAATAACGCTGGTTCATCTGAGGGAATGGCAAAATGTTTCCTTTTTTCTCATTTCCAAGGCCACCTCAACTTTTGCTGGGCTTTTTCAGATGTCCCGTACAGCGCAAGAGCAGTTCTACTATGGTATCGACGAACAGGCTCGCCGGCCAACCGCACGACCATTGCCGGATGCGCGCCAGAAAGGTGAGCCTCTATGACATTAGAGCTTTTCAAAGCGTACATGCAACTTCGAATTGATCAGATAAGTTGCTTACAACATCCTTCTAATGGGGTCTTTCAGATGATCCAGCTCTCCGAAATTCTTAGCTGCCTCAGAATTCCTGTGGTATGCAGTAGTCATCTCCATTGCGGGAATCCCAGCTGTGCATAGATCGCCCTTTGAATCTATCCCCCAGGCAATTCTAGCGATTGTTTTTGGACCAACTATTTAGTTAATTAGATATTCTCTGGAATGTTTCAGAAGGGGTGGGATACAAAGAGACAGTACTTCCCACTTCAAGCCTATCAGACATCACATCGTGACGGGCACCCTACGCTATCCCCCTTACCTTATTTTTTTCACGCTCACTTTCTAACGAAGGTTGACTTTCAAATTATTGCACTTTGAGCGCTGAGGTGCACAATTTTCTTTTGTACATCTTGGGACCCCTCACCTCATCCGAAAAAATGCAGTCACCACTTTCAACGGTTTGCAATTGCAATTTGAAGTGAATTTTTGGGAAGATTTCTCTCACAGAGCTCACAGCAACAGGAGGACAGCAGCAAGTCCATGAAATACTCCTCATTCTCTACGGAGACTGCTTTTAGGATTCCATGGCCAGACCAGACTTATCACGGTCACTCCAGATGCAATCATTCCATCAGTAAATGAACCGATTGAGGCCAGTGGAGGATCGAGAAGACGTAGGAGCGATGTATTCGACGTCAGTAGGTTAACGTAACCTTCCAGGATTAGCCACATTTTGCCTTTTGGACGCAGTTTTTCTTTCAGGCTCGTGGCCGACGTCAGTGTGTCACCTGGGAAACCATGACGGATGAGGAACGGGAGGAAGTTCAAAGAATGAAAAGGTAGGCAATCTGCTTACATAATTGAGATTTCGGGTTTAAGTCTTGAGAGCTAATTGTCAACATTA